AACTAAATGTAGAGAAACTCAATGCAGTTCCTCAAAAATCAGGAACTGCCCTCTCTCTCCATATCTCTTCAATATTATACTTGAAGCTCTAGCTAGAGCAATAAGACAACAAAAGGAGATCAAGAGGATACAAATTGGAAAGGAAGACGTCAAACTTTACTATTTTCAGATGATAAGATAGTTTACAAAAGTGACCCAAAAAACTCTACCAGGGAACTCCTACAGCTGAAAAACACCATCAACAAATTGACAGAATACAAGATTAACTCCAAAAAAAAAAAAAAAAATCAGTAGCCCTACTATACACAGACGATAAAGGGGCTGAGAAAGAAATCAGAGAAACATCACTCTTTACAGTAGCCACAAACAATATAAAATATCTTTGGATAATGCTTACCAAACAAGTGAAAGATCTATATAGCAAGAACTTTGTGTCTTTAAAGAAAGAAATGAAAGAAGATACCAGAAAATGGAAATGTCCCCCTTGTTCTTGGATAGGTAGGATCAACATAGTAAAAATTGCAATCTTGCCAAAAATAATCTACAGAATCAATACAATGTCCATCAAAATCCCAGCACAATTCTTCACAGACCTTGAAAGGACAATCCTCAACTTTATATGGAAAAACAAAAGACCCAGGATATCCAAGTGGGGAAAAAAACCTGTACAAGAAAGGAAGGACCTAGACCCTATCCCAAATGACTTGACAGATTTTGATGATCCCTCCTGGAAAGCCTCACCCTCCCTGGGGAGTAGATGAGGGATGGGATGGGGGGTTCAGTGGGGGGCATGGGAGGGAGGGAGGGAGAGGGATCTGGGATTGATATGTAAAATAAGATATATATATATATACATATACATATATACATACACATACACATATATATATATATATATATATATATATATATCATTCACATATAATAGAAAACGTGATATTTGCTTTTTGGGGCCTGGGTTACCTTCCTTGGGATGAATTATTTTTCTGGTTCCATCCATTTACCTGCAAATTTCATAATTTCATTTTTTTAACAACTGAGTAATATTCCATTGATGGGAGATGTCATTCTGTAAATATGTTTCTCATACTGGTTAATGAATAAAGCATTGTTGGCCAATAGGAAAGCAAGATAGGCAGGAATAGGAGACAAGGAGGATTCAAGGAAGTAGTAGAGAGGCGTCAGCATGTAGAGACTGGAGAACAGAGGTCCGAGCCCACTCTCCGGTAAGATGGAACCATGTGGAAACACTTAGATTAATAGAAATGGGTTAATAATTAAGACAGAGCTAGCTGATAAGAAACAAGTAACAGACCAACAACATTATACCTAATACAGGGTCTCTGTGTGTTATTTGGGGCTGGCGTGGCAGTGAGACCAGACAGGTGGGGAAAACCTACTAGTAACATTCCATTATGTAAATGTACTACATTTTCATTATTTATTCATGGACAACTTGGCTGTTTCCAATCTCTATTATGAATAGAGAAGCAAGGAGCATGTAGTAGGGTCCTTGAGGTATATGCCCAAGGACAGTATAGCTGGATCTTGAGGTAAATCAATTCCCAGCTTTCTGAGAAACTGTCACACTGATTTCCATACTGGCTGTATGAGTTTGCACTCCCACCAGCAATGTATGAATATTTCCCTTTCTCCATATTCTTGCCAGTTTGAACTATCATTTGTTTCTGATCTTGACCATTCTGATTGGTGTAAAATGAAATCTCAAAGTAGTTTTGATTTGCATTTCCCTAATGACTTCCTCCTTCCTTCCTTCCTTCCTCTCTACCTTCCTTCCTTCCTTCCTTCCTTCCTTTCTTTTTGAGACAGGGTTTCTCTGTGTAGCCTTAACTGTCCTGAAACTCACTCTGTAGCCCAGGCTGGCCTTGAACTCACAAAGATCTGCCTGCCTCTGCCTCCTAAGTGCTGGGATTAAATAGGCATGTGCCACCACTGCCTGGCCCCATTGACCATTTCTTAAAGTGTATCTCAGCCATTTGTGTTTCATCTTTTGAGAACTCTTTGCTTAGACCTGTACCCCATTTTTATTTGTTTTCTTGATGTCCAGTTTTTGTAGTTCTTTATATACTTTAGATACTAATCCTGTAGTGGGTATGTAAAATTGGTAAAGCTCTTTCCCATTCAATAGCCTGCCACTTTGTCCAAATCATGATGTCCTTTGCCATACAGAAGGTTTTCAGTTTTATGGGGTCCCATTTACTGATTGTTGTGCCTGTGATAATGATGTTCTGTTCAGAAAATCTTTTCCTATGCCGATGAGTTCAAGCCTATCCCCCACTTTCTCTTCTGTCAGATTCAGGGTATCTGGTTTTATGTTGATCCATCTGGAGTTGAGTTTTGTGCAGAGTGCTAAGTATGGATCTACATGGATTCTTCTACATGCATCCATTCAGGTTTGACCACCATTTGTTGAGGATGCTGTCACTTCTCCCTGTGTATATTTTTAGTTTTTTTGACAAAAAATCAGGTGTTCATAGGTATATGAACTATGCCTGGGCCTTCAGCTTGATTCCATTGATCAACATGTCTGTTTTCATGCCAATACCATACTATTTTTATCACTATAGCTCTGTAGTACAACTTGAAATCTAGGATGGTAATACTTCCTGCAGTTCTTTTATCATTTGAGATTGTTTTAGCTATCCTGGGTTTTTTTGTTTTGTTTTGTTTTGTTTTGTTTTGTTTTGTTTTGTGTTTTCGTATGAAACTTAAAATTGTGAGCTTTTTGTTTTTCAATTTCTTTTATGAATTTTGTTGGAATTTTGATGTGGATTGTGTTGAACCTGAAGATTGCTTTTGGTAGGATGGCTATTTTCATTGTATTAATCCTACTGATCCATGAGCACAGGAGACTTTTCCATCATCTGATGTCTTGTTCAATTTCTTTCTTCAATGTCTTCAAGTTTGGGGGGTGGGAAAGTATTATTTGTTTTGTTTTTCAAGACAGAGTGTGTCTGTGTATCCCTGGCTGTCCTGGAACTCACTCTGTAGATCAGGCAGGCCTCACCCTGCCTCTGCTTCCTGGCTGCTGGGATTAAAGGTGTGTGCCACCAACACCCACCCCACTCTTGCCACCACCACCTGGCTAAAGTTTTATTATACAAGTCCTTCACTTTCTTGGTTAGACTTATCCCAAGGGGAAAAAAATTTAGGCTATTATAAAAAAAAAAAATGCTGTCTCCCTGATTTCTTTCTTAGTCCATCATTTGAAGAAGGCAGGCTACTGGTTTTGTATATTAATTTTGCATCCTGATGCTTTGCTGGAAGTGTTAGCTTCTGTAGAAGTTTCCTAGCAGGGTTATTAGGGTCTTTTATGTACAAATTCATACAAACTACAAATATATTTTTGCTTCTTCCTTTTCTATTTGTATCCTCTTGATCTTCAGTTGTCTTATTGCTCTAGCTAAGAATTGAAGTATTAAGTAGGTATGGAACAAATAGACATCCTTGTCTTGTTCCTGATTTTAATGGAATCATGTTTCATTTGCGTTTGTCTCTGTCTAGATTAATATTGGATATGGGCTTGCTATAAATTGCCTTTATTGTGTTGAGGTATGTCCCTTGTATCCCTAGTCTCTCTGGAACTTTTATCATGAAGGAATGTTGGGTTTTGTCAAAGGCTTTTTCATTATCTAATGAGATGATCATGTGGGTGTTTTTTTTTTCAGTCTGTGTGGTGGGTCACATTTATCTAGTTTTTTAACATTCATCTATTTTTGTATGTTGAAATCTCTGTCTCTGTCTCTCTGGCATGAAGATAACTTGATCATGATGCATGATCTTTTCGATGCATTTTTGGATTATGTATATGAATGTTTTGCCTATATTTAGGTTTGTGCACCATGTACATCCAATGCCCAGGAGGCCAGAGAGGGGAGCCAGATACCCTTGACACTGGAGTTAGAGACAGTCATGAGCCATCATGTAAGTGCTGGGAGTCAGACCCATAGTTCTTAGAGAAAATGCATGCTGTACCTGGAAGATGGTGTTGCTACCGTGTCTTATTCTCTCTTCTTTATTCTACTCATATCTCCCACCCACATGCCACTGGCTCACTGTACCTAGTCTCTACTGCTTGCTGCTATTCTTCTCCCATGGGGAATTCTTGCAGTTTTGCCCCACCCCCACCCCATCCCCGATTGGAGTGCAATGAATGGGGATCGGTCCATACCCAGACAGTACTGGGCATTCATTCACCAAGGCCCTGAACTCTAAATTCAGTGTTCAGCATGGTCTTCTAAATAGAGTCTAAGGAAATGAACATGGTGATCCAGGCTGAGTACCACAGTGGGTCTGTCTGAGTGTGGGCAGGCTCTGAGTGGGACCATATCCTAAGTCCATACATCAGCTCAGGAAACCAGCCTCTACTACGTTTAGCCAGATTCTGTACAGGGAAAGCTCCAGCAGACTTTAATTTTCTCCCCATCCACATCCATGTCTTAAATGAAAGAGATGTCAATCAAGACAACTGGAAAGAAACACTAAGCCATTTATTACATCATCGAATTGGAAGCTGGGGAAGCAAAGAGGTCCTTGGGCTCCTGAAGCCCCTTCTGTAACAGTGAAATCAAGAGGAAAGAGGCTGGGAAGAGCAGGAGGCTCAATAGAAAAAGTGCTCCCCTAGTACACATGAGACCTTGGGTTCCAAACCCAATGTGTGTGTGTGTGTGTGTGTGTGTGTGTGTGTGTGTGTGTGTGTGTGTGTACATATATATATATACATATATATATATATGTATATATATATATATATATATATATTTAAAAAGGCTGGGGGAAATGAGCTTCAGCACCCACGTTCTCCACCTACTCATCTCTCCTGTGACCTGCCCTCTCAAGAATAACTTTTTCTGTGTGATCTCCATCTGTCTTTAGACATTGCTGGTCACACATTCCCCAGGCACAGTCCGTGGACACAAAGGAATTCCAGGTTCTGGGAGCTTACTCAGGACATAGCAGCATCCAATCTACCTAAGAAGCCATGCCAAGGTCAGCTGCTGCCACAGTGGCTCTTCTGAGCTCAGCCCTGCAGGAAATGATCCAGTTGTCCTGTCCTCAGCTCAGGACAGGCAGCTGAGAACCCAGGCAGTGAGGACACCCAGCAGTGTTTCTTCATCTTGCCTTTAGGATTAGGCGGGTTTTCTCATCTCCAATGAAGAGCCTGAAAGTAAATTGTCCTGTGAGGTCTCCATTTCCATGGGAGAAAGACCCAGCTTCCCATTATAAAGCTCCAGGCCCAGAACTCTGTAGACAGGTATCTTCCTGAGCTCAGCCCTGTCAGGCAAATGATGCTTGTGGTGGCCATTCAGCAATCAGTAACAGAGTGACTAGTGATGTTTTACACTAGGTCCCGGGCATGGCCTGAGGCCCCTGGACTACAGTAGGCAATGGTACAAGAAGGCTACACAGCCAGTCCAGATCTGGCCCTCCAGACACAGTTGAAGGGGGTTGGGGAGGACCTGGGAGGAGTTGGTGCCTTGAGGGAAAAGAATATGATACAAATATATTGTACAAAACAAAAACTTAAATGAAAAACATAAGCCTGTCTAAAGGTGAAGCTCACCCATAGGAAAGGAAAGTCTATGAGATATCCCAAGTCCCCAGAAACATGTTTGAGCACTTCTTAGAGCCCTTATAAGGTGGATTTCTGTCACTTGGATCCAATGGCCCTAGACAGAGCCAGCTTAATTCCCTCTGAAGATTCACTTTACCCTCCAAGCTCAAGTGAGTGCCAATCTACTAGCTGTAGACTCCCTGTCACCCTCCTACCTAATGAGCAGTCCTACAAGGAGGCCAGCCAGGAGGGGCCCCAACCAGTAGATCCAATGGAAGTCCCAATAGCCAGCCATCACAGCAGGTCCAAAGGCACGAGCCGGGTTCATGCAGGCTCCAGAGATTCCACCCCTGCAGACACAAAGATACACAGTTCACCAGCATCTCAGACTACTCCACCCAGACATCCTCTCTAAACTCCCATACCAGGGGGCCTGGGCAGATCTCAGAGACTATAAAAGGACTTTAGTACCAGGCAGCCAAAGATGATGCCTACATGACCCTCATATAGGCCACTCCCTGCACACTGTTCTAGAATAGCGGCCAGCAGAAACACCTGCTTAGTCATGGCAGGAATAAAAAATGGAAACTTTCCTTTCCAAAGTCTATAAATCAAAGCCCGAGGAATGTCACCCACTTTTGAGTCCGGTTGACCTACATTCAAAGTCCAGCCTGGGCAATTCTACTTTGTAACCTTTGTCTAACCTCTCTGCATGTCCACTGAGATGAATGTGCCCATCCCATAGGTTGTAGCCAGGAACAAATGACAAAATGTGCATGTCTTGATCACTATAGTGTGGCTGGCCCACTGAGGTCCTCATGCCACGGATCTGGGCCTTCCTCCCCTAGAGGGGGTCTGTTTCCCAGGCACACTAAAGGGGGCATGTACCCCAAGCTCACCAGAGGGAACATGTTTCCAAGGCACACCTCTAGCCCTAGATTCTGTCTGCAGACCCCATGCCTTCAGGCTGGGTCCTGCAGCCTTCCTTCTCTGGGTTCCAAACCCAAAAGGCAGTCCAAGTAGTGGAGCACACATGTAAGTAAAGCAACTGCCACTAGGGGGCAGAAAAGCACCACTACTACTGATCTACTGCATTCCCAGCACACCCAAGTGGCAAAGAGACCTGAACCCTGAGAAAGGTTTGGTTCTGTATCCAAAAGGAAGAAAAGAATTGATTTTTTGGAAGTGACCTCTTACACACTTCATCATCTTGTGGGTGATTATCCCAGGTCTGTCACTTTATTTAGATACTCAATGATCCTAAGATATTTCTTGCCTTTCTGAACCTCAATTTGACTACCTGTACAATGGGAGAAATGATTAAATGATTCCTTACCCAACTGCATCTCCTTAATGCCTTCCTACAACTAAAAAGAGACTCAAAATAAGAGAGAATGTGAATAGGGGTTAATCCAGATCTCTGACTTAGCCTTAAATGAAGTAGAAGGGTCACCATATTTTCACACAACCAAAATTCACCTAGCACTGTCTGCCACATCACCCACCATTGCCCAGTATCTGCCTCAAACCAGCCCATAGCTCCATTTGCCACATTTTCCTGGTCCCTCTTGGCAACTGAGGTTGCAGCCCTCAGCCCTGATGTAGCCCACATCTTGGCATGGTGATCACACTACTGAGGGACACTTACCCTGCCAAAATATCTACAACAACAGAGAAGCCAATGGAGAATGGCGCCAGAGGGCCCTTCGTCTTGTCATTGACGGCACCCATACACACGGCCAATGCCAACAGCATTGTCAGAATGATCTCTGCTCCCACGGCTGCTGCCACCTGCCCTTCCTCCTGGACTGTTGCGAAGGCCGCCCCAGATGCATTCCAGAACCTCTCCTCCGGACTCACCGCCTGTGGCGAAAAACCACTCAGCCTTGGACAGAGAGAAGCCAGGAACTGGGCACAGGGCCAACCATGCAGGCCTGTGCTCCAGCCCACATGCAGTGCGACATATCTGTGCCCATGTCCCAGTTCCTTCTGTTTTTACATGTGACTTCAGGAGCTACAAGGCCTCGCTGAACCTTGCTGTGCTCACCTGATAATTGAGGGTAACGAGTGTTGTGTCCTAAAGCCTAGGCTGCTTAGATAACCCCCTTTGAGGAAAAGAGCACAAAACTAGCTTGCCTCACAAGCTCTGGAAGCTGAAGACATGGCAGGCAGGACCTTCAGGCCTTGAGGAAGGCTGAGTTAGCCTCAGGGAGCAGGCACTGGTGGGAATCAGAAGTGGGGAGAAGGGAAGAATGGAAAGGAGGAGGGAAGGAGGGAGAGAAGAGCCCATGGAATTATGTATAAACTATAAAATCTTTGGCCCAGGCTGGGGATAAAGTCGATGGTAGAGTACATCTCTAGTATGCTGAAGGCCCTATGTTCCATCACCAGTGCTGGGTGATGGAAAACCTGCAGCTAAAAAGAGCTTGTTCTTTTACAAAGTGTTTTATTTTTATGTGTATGAGTGTTTTGTGTTCATGTATGTCTGAGTCCCCCATGCATGCCTGGTGACCACAGGGGACAGAAGAGGGTATGGGACCTTTGGAACTCAAGTTCCAGATGGTTGTGAGCTGCTACATGGGTGCTGGGAGTCAAACCCAGGTCCTCTGGGGGAGCAGCCAGTGCTCTTATTTGTTGGGGGCATTTCCTTGGCCCCAGAACTAGCTTTTTTGATTGGTGGAAACATTTCAAGCATAAACTGAGTACCAACCCTAAGGAAAGAGAAGGGAAAGGGAAAGGGAATCCCATCAGAGACAAGCCACCAGCCCGGTCCCAGCAGGGATTACTGACCTTAGCCAAGGCAGCCCCAATCAGTCCCCCAAACAGCTGGGCGATCCAGTAGGGAATAAGCAGCATGATGTTGAGGCCTCCAATGAGTGTAACTGCCAGCGACACAGCAGGGTTGAAGTGTCCACCACTACAGCCAAGAGGAAAAGGAAGCCTTGAGGACAAGGTCCAGGGCTCACCACAGAGTGAAAATATGCACTTTAGCCTGTCCCCCAAACTAGCCTGCAGGCTAGAGTCAGCCTGGGCCCTGCCATAAGCAGAAATGCAGCAAATCCGCATTTTCCCTGAAAAGCCTTGTGATGAGATGAGATGCACAGAGGGAGCTGGCAATGGGTAGAACAGCCCCTAAAGCCAGGCCCTAGGTGGCCTTGGGAACAAACACATAGGGAAAACATCCATGAATTCCCCCAGACTCCTCAGAGCTTGGCCCAGCCCTCCAGAAATGTGACCAGGTGCCAGATCTGCACACCACACACAGACTGCAAAACCAAGATGTTGGTGTGTGTTCAGCATGCATCTCTGCCTGCTAGTCATACTAGGGGCTTCACTGAACTGCAGCTGTTGCCATCTTCTGTGTCACACAATTGCACAGAGACTCAGTGGCTCATGTTGGTCACCCAGCCAGGAAACCAACAGGCCTACCTAGATAAAAAGTCTTGTGCTTTCCATCCCACTCACAGCTTCCCTTGAACATTTAAAGAGACAGTAAAGTGTCTGTTCTTGCTTTCCAAAGAACAGCATGTCACTGTTCTCAATCAGATCTGCTTTTGAGTGAGATTAAATAGAGAACAGCCCTAACCCAGTTCACACAGTCAGATGCCTCTAGCGGGGGATATCCACCTTAGCAGTTGGTTCTTCTAGGAAATGACCCTCCTCCCCACAATCCATCCTACTGAGCCCCTACACAGCTAAAAGCCAAGCAAGAGACGGGTCATCTTTCTGGCCCCACAAAAAAACACCTCCTGTCTGGATGAAGCCCGGGCAGCCTTCTGTGTACAACAGTGGATAAATAAAACCCCAGTCAGATCTCCTGTGCTGCTTCACGTTTACTAATCCATTCCCAAAACATAACAGCAAGAGCAGAGAGGGTTGAACGTCTCACAGTCCTGAGGCACCCAACTTCGGGCACCAGACAGCTTGAATTTGACTCCTGGCATATACCAATGATGATGTGGACTTTCTCTTTCACAAAAAACGGGGTGGGGGGAGGGGAGAAGGGTAATAACACAACCTATTCCATCAATTTGCCATGAGAATGACATCAAGAGTACTCGGTGTTCAGTGTAGAGCAGAGGCATGGTTAAGCAATAGATGTGTGTTGCCTTGAAAAATAACTTTTAAAAAGTTAACATTATTATTCCCATTTAATAGGCTTGGAGAATGATCTGCCCACAGAATCCACAGGCTGTAGAGCTAGGTGACCCCACCTCCATTTGTAAGACCCCCAAGTGGATGCCTAACTAAGAACTCTCTAGATTGGCACTAGGCTAAATGCTGGGAGCTGGTCTCACCTGATGTTTCCCAAGACAGCGATGATGAGCCCCAAGGCCAGCCCATGAGCCAGGGCTGGCTGCAGAAGCCCAGTGTTTGGACTGTTCTCAATGACCGATAGGCACCCGATGAAGATGAAGAGGGCAGAACCCAAAAGTTCTGCCATACACGGCTGTATGTATCGCTCATAACAGGACACACGGCATCTGCCACCCATGTTGGTCTCCTTTATCTTGCCGCCACCTAGGTCCACCTCACACATCGGTGCCTGCCGTAGGGAAAAAGAGGAAACATGGGTGGCAGTGGTTCCCAAACGGAAGCCCCCATTCCCCAGCCTTGAACACATTCTTGGTACCCTTGCCCCGGCAACAAACTCACCTCCCCAGACATGAATGCGAGAAGGTTCAAGCCGGAGCTATCAGGAGCTGCACAAGCTGCACTAAGATGTGCGCACTTATCTCCAGGACAGAGATTGGACCGCTACAGGCTGCTCTTTTAAAGGTCTGGGGACGTTCCACAAAGGTGTCCAGAAAGCAATAAAGCCTGAATGGGAGGTGCCCCAGAAGAGTAAACTTTTTTTTTTCTAATCTCAACAGGGCAAGGGCCACGTGGGATCAATGATTGCTGGGCTTGGTGCCAGCAACAGGAAAGGTGTGGCCTGCTTGCATCACGTGCAGCATACTCCCAGCCCCCTCCATAGTGCCTCATCTCTCCAGGGTCCAAAGGTGGCGCAGGCATGAGGAGGGCCCCGCCAGCAGAGAATTGCACACTCAGTAGCAGCCAACTCCTCCACCATTAGTGTGCCACGGTCGCCATGCACCCTCTTCTCACCTAGGACCTTTTCCACAGCCATCCTGATAACTCGACCCAGCAAGCCTGTGTGTAGATGGTGGCTGCTGGGTGCCTGAAGCAATAGAGACAATGTACCACTGCTGTGTATGGTAAAGCTGGTAGACTTTGGAAACCTGGTGATGGGTGGGCCTACAGCCTCACACACTCAAAGCCAAGGCACCACCAATGAGATATACACACACACACACACACACACACACACACACACAAACGCGCATACCCTTGCACGCTCGCGCACACACACACACATACACACGCGCACGCGCGCACGTCCCCGCGCGCCCCAAACTCAGACTGCCTGAATTGAAACCCAGCTCAGCATGACCAAGCCAGGAGCTAGCCATGTAACTGAGAACAACTGAACTCTCTTCATCTTCACTGTTTTCCCTGCAGTGACTGAACCCATATCATGGCTTCCTTACAAAGTTTCAGAGTGAATAAATGAGAAGGGCCCAAGGCAGCGTCCTTCATTTCAGAATATACCCATAAGCCCCTCAAAGTACAAGTGTCCAAGCCCCACCCTTGAGGACCTCAAAACCACCAGGCTCCTCTCACAGAAAACTCTACCTACCATAAGGGCCAGAGCCAGCCCCTCCGGAAACCAGCTCCACCTAAGGGAGTAAAAAGACTTAAAGTCTCCCTAATCCTCACCATGGAAATCTCCACCCTGGCAAGCTCTGTCCCCCGAGAAACCCTATACAAACCCGGTCTTCTGCTCAGTTCTCTACTGCTTCTCATCAGAACAGAGGCAGCCTCCTCCCAATCTCTTTGTGAAGTTTGTTGGGCAGTGTGACTTTGTGGTATTCGTTGGCTCCCAACTGCCAGAATACCTTTTCCCTCATAGCTGTAACACTTGTAGTGGGGAAACCCCCCCCACACACACACACATATACACAAGCAAAGCTTAACACATTGGAAAAACTTTTCCCCTCAGAGCTATAATGCTTCCATTTGGGAAAGCTTTCCCCCTCAAAATTGTAAGACATCTACTAGGAAAGCCTTTCTCCTCAGAGCTGTAACACCTACAATAGCCATATGGAACACTACATACATAAAAATGGCCATCAACTTTAGAATACATACTTGGGTGCCACACTGTACACTTCTGTGTGCCAGGAACTGACTAACAGCCTTGTATATTTTCTTACATTCACCTGGTGAACACTCCATGACCTAGGCATGCCACGAAAGAGAAAGCACTTTTTCAGGAAAACGTAGCCGGGGATTATAAAAACAGTGAGCTGTCACAAAGGGCAATGTAATTGCACCTCTATGATGGACCCAGACAGTCACATTTATAAATACAGAAAGAAGAATGGGGCCAGGATGGGGCTCACTTGGTAGAGTACTTGCTTAACACACATGAAGCCCTGGGCCTCTCTTAGCACCACACACAATCTGTCATGGTAGCACACACCTGTAATCCCAGCATGTGGGAGGTGGGCACAGAACAGTGCAAGGTCATCCTTGGCTACAGAGAAAGTCTGAGGCCAGCTTGCCTTTATGAGACCTTATCTCAAAAAAAAAAAAAAAAAAAAAAAAAGACTTGGGGGGAGCAAGATGGCCTAGTGGGTAAAGTAGTTTTTCTCCAAGTTTGATAACTGAGTTTGATCTTCAGGACCTACAAGGTAGAGTGAGAAAACCAACTCCTGTAATCCTGCAGGTTGTCCTCTGACCTCTGGACAAACCCTATCTATCTATCTATTGACCTGGGTTTTTGTTGGGGGAGAAGATATCCTAGAGATGAATGGCAGAGATGGATAAACAATTGAGGATAATCAATGCCACTAAACTGCACACTTTTTAGTTAAGTGGTACATTTCACGTCACACACACTTTGCCACTATTGGAAGGAAAGAATAAGCTCAGCCATAATGTATCAACTTTCAAGAAAAGTAGATAGGCAGATGAACGGAAGGACAGACAATACTGAAAGAGGGAGGAAAGAAGGGAAGGAAGGAGAGAGGGGAGGGAGGGATGACAGAGAGAGGGAGGGAGGACAAAGAGGGAGAGGGAGAGGGAAAAGGTACAATTTGCTTCCTTCCTTGATTGTCTCACACATATTTAAATAGCGACTGTGAGTCCATCACTATTCTATCCACTGAGTTTCAGAATTCTGCAGGGCTGAGAGCTCTGATCTGAGTGTCTGTGTGTAAAGAAATGGAGAACTTCAGTGTCTATATGTAGAGATGATGGAGGACTACTATTAAAGACTAGGGAGTTTAATGATCATCTCTGCCACTTGCCAATAGCTCATTATATGTCCAGTCCCACATGCACACTGAATCTTTTCACAACCGCCCTGAGATAAGTCCTGTTACTCATTGTCCCTACTTTCTGATGATTAAAGGAGACACAAAGAGATTAAAGAACTTGAACACAGTGGTGCAGATTACTAGTATCCACTCCAAGATAGAAGTGGATACACCCAGACAATGGCTGGGCAGTATGCTGACTTCTTGCAAGCCAGAGCTCTGATACAGGCCCCCCTGAGCATCTCTGCATGGCCAAAGGTTTGGGCCTTGCCTTCACGCTGGTTATCTTCCATCCTGCTTCCTGCCTCCTCCTACCCCAACATCACACTGCACGAGATGCTTCCTCAGCCTTCCTTCTGTGTCCTTTTGAGCAGCAAGATAAGATAGTCACCACACACACTCCCCTTTGGACTTCCAGAACAATTCTCTCCCGTTTCCTCCCAAACCAGCACCCCTTCTTGTTTTAAAAACTCTAACTAGAAATAGAGAGATGGCTCCGTGATAAAGTCCTTGTCATGTAAGTATGAAACTTGAATCTGAGTCCCCAGAACTCTTATAAAGCCTAAGGTGGTCCGGCAAGCCTATAATTCCAGGATTCCTACAGCATGGAGAGGCAGAGGCAGGGCAGGAGGCAGAGGCAAGAGAATGCCCAGACACCAGTGAGCTGGTTAGCCTAGTACACACAGCATCCAATAAGCCAAGACCCTGTGTTAAAAGAACAAAATGGAAGGTGAGGAATAACATACAAGGCTGCCCACATTAAGCTGTGACATGTGTACACACACACACACACACACACACACACACACACACATACACACACACACACGTGTGTGTGTGTGTGATAAACAGACAGACAGACAGATAGAGCCAGCATTTACTATATACCTACATTTAGGCCTGTGTGCACTGAGCCCTTCAGACACACTCTTTCAATAAGCATGGACCATAACCCATTTCACCATCTCCCAGGCTCACAGCTACTAACATTGCAGTAACTCTTCATCCAGGGTGGTTGCTCCCTGTACTGTCAGTCCAGTGACAGTATCTCCAACAAGGAAGCAACTTAAGGGAGGAAGGGTCTATCGTAGCATAAGAAGGAGCACCATCGATCATGGTGGAGAAGGCACTGCTGCGGGTCACATTGCATCCTACAATCAGGAAGCAGAGAGCAGGCTGCAAGGGGGCCAGAGGCTCAAGACTCAAGGCACTACCTTTGAAAGGTTCCACAGCCCCACGACCTGCTGGGGATGGGTTGTTCAAACACAGGAGAGCATCAGAGGCATTTCACATTCAAAGAGCCGCCCTTGGCCAGTCACACAGGCCTTCTATGCCCTGTTTCACCTCCCACTGCAGGGGCCCACAGAGTGGAGCAGACCCATGCTCTCATGTGCTCTACTAGGATCTTCTGACACACTCCAATTTCTCTAAATATCAGACTAGACCCTCCCTCCCTCCTGCCTGGGCCAAGTAGCTGTTAGTTGGCTAAACACACCCCTCCCCCACTGGAAGCAAGCTTGGATCCCACAGCTCCAAAACATGTAGCAAGTCTCTAGTTACCCAGCGGCTTCTCGCCCTGAGAACTTCCAAGTGTCTGGATGGCCCCTTCACAATGGTCTCTGAAGCCACAAAGATCCCAGTAGGCTAGGGTGATAAACTTTTCCTAATGACTTCACAGCTTTCCAATGCCTGGTTGATATAACCAAGGCCTCTATTTTATTCTTATTTGGATGCTATTACTTTAAAATGTCCCTGTATCCCGACACCAGGTCCAGATGAAGTTCAAAGGCAGTTAGCATTAGATGGTACATTGTCCTCCCCTTTTCTTGCATGGACAGCTATTCTGCTCATGCAAGAATGTGGGAAGATCTGTGATGACATTGTGACCATGACACCAGATAAAACCCACGGATATTTACCCCAGACCTAATAAATGACCCTGTAGTTGCCAGACTGTGTGCCAAGGCACGGCCTTGAGCTCTTGCAAGGTCACACTTTAAAGTGTTCACACTGTGGACACTTTAAATTTCCAGAGGAAACACAGGGATGCTCCTCAGTGTCTCTCAGGAACCACTTCAAGACCAGGTCAAGGCAACTCTAGCCCAACAGCTTGGCTGCACTACCTTGCCTTTTAATGGCAATGCATCTTCTATCTTCATGAAGTCGATTTCATAGTAGTCACTGTGACTAAAAATCCAAATGTCTGGAGCTGGAGAAATGGTTCAGTGGCAAAGAGCACCTGTTGCTTTTCCAGAGGTCCTGAGTTCAGTTCCCACTACCCATGTCTTGCATCTCACTTGTGCCTGCAATCCAACAGGAGATTGGGGGTGGAGATCCCACTCCCTCTTCTGGCATCCACCCCCACATATAC